CATTTGCTAACTAGCCCTAACTTACACATTAAACATATTCATTTGCTAACTAGCCCTAACTTACACATTAAACATATTCATTTGCTAACTAGCCATAACTTACACATTAAACATATTCATTTGCTAACTAGCCCTAACTTACTGTTGAACAACATGTTTAGATTATGACAGGTCAACTTTTATATATTCTGATTCATTTTGTTCCCCCTCTAAAAAATGGTGTATTTTAACAGTAATTATCTTTCAGAACTATAGAATTATAATCTGATTCTGAGAACATTAGTTTATAAAATATATTTTATAACATTTATAATGAATCTTTCAAATGTAAAAAGATAAGAGAAAATTATATTAAGTTTCTAATTTGTTAAACAATCATGTTTAAATTTCCTTCAATTTGAAAAATTATATTATACAAATATACAGGAAACTTTCATCTAAGTTTGTGTAGTTGTTTTGAAAAATCACATTGTTTAGATTGTTTTTGTTTTATGCAGACAATGCTGGAACAATGCAGATATTTTCATCTTCCTCTTGGGAACATGCCTCAAGACAGTACTTTGTTTGCAGCTGACCTATTTTTTGCCAGAAACCTTCAAAAACAGAATTTCTTGTTGTGGTGTTCCCCAACGGAACGTCCTGATTTAGGTGGAAAGGAAGCAGATGATAATAGGTAAATCAATTTTCCGTACAGAACTTCATAATATTCATTGTAGCATAACTTATGACTGTAAAGAACTACTTTGATAATGAAGCTTTACAAATACTTTAATAGACAGAAGAAAGCTTTGTTGTGAAAAACATTAGATAAATATTGGTTTGTTTTAGGCTTCTGGCAGAGATCGAGGGTAAAACTGTGGTGGAGGTAAAAAAAGCAGGAGCTTACTCATCAGTGTGTGTGGAGCTGGATATTGAGAGTTTAGCTGTCACCACAATACTTCAAGTAGGTGTTGTTAATAATTACCACAATACTCCAAGTAGGTGTTGTTGATAATTACCACAATACTCCAAGTAGGTGTTGTTAATAATTACCACAATACTCCAAGTAGGTGTTGTTAATAGTTACCACAATACTCCAAGTAGGTGTTGTTAATAATTACCACAATACCCCAAGTAGGTGTTGTTAATAATTACCACAATACTCCAAGTAGGTGTTGTTAATAATTACCACAATACTCCAAGTAGGTGTTGTTAATAATTACCACAATACTCCGAGTAGGTGTTGTTAATAATTACCACAATACTCCGAGTAGGTGTTGTTAATAATTACCACAATACTCCGAGTAGGTGTTGTTAATAATTACCACAATACTCCAAGTAGATATTGTTGTTAATAATTACCACATTACTCCAAGTAGATATTGTTGTTAATAATTACCACAATACTCCAAGTAGATATTGTTGTTAATAATTACCACAATACTCCAAGTAGATATTGTTGTTAATAATTACCACAATACTCCAAGTAGATATTGGTGTTAATAATTACCACAATACTCCAAGTAGATATTGGTGTTAATAATTACCACAATACTCCAAGTAGATATTGGTGTTAGTCACCACAACATTCCAAGTAGATATTGGTGTTAGTCACCACAACATTCCAAGTAATATTGTTGTTAGTCACCACTGTATTTCAAAGACCATTGTTGTTAGTCACCACAACATTCCAAGTAATATTGGTGTTAGTCACCACAACATTCCAAGTAATATTGTTGTTAGTCACCACTGTATTTCAAAGACCATTGTTGTTAGTCACCACAACATTCCAAGTAATATTGTTGTTAGTCACCACTGTATTCGAAAGACCATTGTTGTTAGTCACCACAGTATCCCAAATATTAGGTCATCAAGAAATTAATGTTGCATTTTGGAACACTTTCATTAGCCATCCTCAAAAAAACGTACATCATGTATAATAGTTAAATGAACTGCCTAAACATCATGTTCGTTTATCCTATATGAGGTGTAAAGTTTAGTATACTCTAATCCCTTATAGTGATGGCACACAACAAGACACACATTTGGCATGTAATGCTGT